CCCCCCCCCCAAACAGACTAGCTCCACGCCGTGTCCTCTTGCAGACCTCCCTCCTCCAACACGCTCTTGGCCCAGAGACCATCCGAGGCAGGGCCACAAGCTGAAGCCGTGTGTGAGCAGCTCTGACAGGGGCCGGCACCACTCCGCAGCTCCCGCCCCAGGGAGAGGGGAAGTTAACCACACGCAGTCCAAGGCAGCGCCAGCAGGGCTGGGCGAAGACCTCTGGTCTGACAGCGGGTCCCGCCCCCGGGAAAGCTTCTCAGGGGACAATACAGGGAAGGCACCGCTGCAGGTCGGGGCTACTGCACCATGGCAGACACCTGGTCTGACTCAAATCGAGCCCGAGGCGGCCCCACACTGGCCCACTAACACAGGGGCCAAACAACAATAGAAAATGAAAAGAGATTAAGGGAATCAGCAACATCACCAAGTGTAATAATATTTGCATTGTAAAGATCCCAGAAAAAGAGAGAGAAAAAGGGGCAGAAAACTTACTTATAGAAGTTACCAGCTCAAAACTTCCCAAATCTCCCAAAGGAAACAGATCCCCGGATCCAGGAGGTAGAGAGAACCTCAACAAAATCAGCCCAAGGAGGTCCACACCAAGACACACAGTAATCAAAATGGCAAAACCTGCCGGAGACTTTTTAAAGAAACAAGAGAAAAGAAAACATTTACATACAAGGGAAGCCCCCTCAGGCTATCAGCTGATTTTTCAGCAGAAACCCTGCATGCCAGAAGGGAGTGGCGTGATATATTCAAAGTTCTGAAAGAAAAAAACATGCTACCAACAATACTCATCCAGCAAGGATATCATTCAGAATAGAGAGATTAAGAGTTTCCCAGACAAACAAAAGTTAAAGGAATTCATCACCACTAAACCAGCCTTGCAAGAAATGCAAAAGGAGACACACCCTGAGTGAAAAGGAAAGACCGTAAGCAGGAGTAAGAAAAGTAGGAAACATAAAGGCAGCAAAATTAAGTATATTTATACCAATCAGTTGAGGGAGTCACAAAATAAAAGGATGTAAAAGTATGACACCATGCCTAAAATGAGGAAGGGAAAGAGGAGAAAAGTAACAATTTGGTGCTTTTAGAATGGGTTTAAACTCAAGTGACCATCAACTTAACAGATTCCTAGATGCATAAGATGTCACATATAAACCTAACGATAACCCCAATTTAAAAACCAGTAACAGATATGACTAAAATAAAGAAAAAGGAATCCAAGTATATCACACTACAGAAAGCCAGCAAACTGTGAGAGAAAAGAGCAATGGGAAGGAACAGAACTACAAAACAATCATAAAGCAAGTAACAAAATGGCAATAAGTACGTGCCTATCAATATTTACTTTGAATGCAAATGGACGAAACACTCCAATCAAAAGACATAGGGTGACAGAACGGATAAAAAAAGATTCATCTATATGCTGCCTACAAGACTCATTTCAGACCTAAAGACACATGCACAATGAAAATAAAGGGATGGAACAGCATTTATCAACAAAATGGAAATAAAAAGATAGCTGGGGTAGCAATACCTGTATTGGACAAAACAGACTTTAAAACTTACAAGACTGTAACAAGAGACACATAAGGATACTGCAAAATTATAAAGGGGACAATCCAACGAGAAGAGATAGCAATTGTAAATATCCATGCACCCAATGTGGAAGCACTCAAATACATAAAGCAGCTAATAACAGACATAAAGGAAATAACTGATAATACATTAACAATAGAGGACTTTGAGAATCCATTTACATTAACAGACAGATGATTTAAATAGCAAATCAACAAGGAAACAGTGGCTTTGAATAACAGTTTAGACCAGATGGATTTAACATATATACTCAGAACATTCCATCCTAAAACAATAGAATACATATTCTTTTCAAATTTATATGGAATAGTCTCCCTAATACATCATAGTAGGCCACAAAACAGGTCTCAGCAAATTCAAAAAGACTGATGTCATATACCACGTATCTTTTCTGACCACAATGCTATGAAACTAGCAATCAACCACACGAAAAAATCAGGAAAGAACACAAACAGATGGACGTTGAATAACATGCTACTGAAGAATGAATGAGTCAATAAGAAATCAAAGAGGAAATTAAAAAACTCATGGAGACAAATGAAAATGAAGACACAACAATCCAAAATCTTCAAGATGCAGCAAAGGTGGTTCTAAGAGGGAAGTATACAGCAATACAGGCATACCTCAAGAAGCAAGAAAAATCTCAAAAGAACAATTTAATTTTACACCTAAAGGAGCTAGATAAGAACAACGAACAAAACCTAAAACCAGTATAAAGAAGGAAATAATAAACAGAGCAGAAATAAACACAACAGAAACTAAAAAAACCCAATAAAACAGATGAAACCAGGAGCTTGTTCTTTGAAAAGATGAACAAAATTGATAAACCCTTAGGCAGCCTCAAATAAACAAAATCAGAAATGAAAAAGGAGAAATAACAACTGACACCACAGAAATACACAGGGTTACAATATAATAGTATAAAAACTTGTGTGCCCACAAATTGGACAAGTTAGAAGAAATGCATGAATTCCCAAAAACATAGAACCTTCCAAAACTAAATCTGGAAGAAACAGAAAATTTGAACAGGCCGATTACCAGCAATGAAACTGAAGCCGTGATCAAAAGACTTCCAGCAAACACAAGTTCAGGATCAGAGGACTTCACAGGTGAATTCTACCAAACATTTAATGAAGAGTTAATACTACCTATTCTTTTCAAACTACTCCAAAAAATAGAAGAAGGAATGCCTCTAAATTCATTCTATGAGGCCAGCATTACTCTGATACCAAACCAGATAAAGGCACTACAGAAAAATACAGAGAATCACAGGCCAATTATCTCTGATGAACACAGATGCAAAAACACTCCACAAAATAGCAAATCAAATCCAATAATACACTAAAAAAACACTCACCACAATCAAGTGGGATTTATTCTTGGGATGCAAGGGTGGTTCAATATTCACAAATCAATCAAAATAATGCATCAACAAGAGAAAAGATGTTTCAATAGATGCAGAAAAAAGATGTGACAAAATACAACATCCGTTCATGATAGAAACCCTCAACAAAGCAGGTTTAGAGGGAATATACCTCAAGATAATAAAGGCCATATATAACAAAAACCCACAGCTAACATCATCAATGATGAAAAACAGCTTTTCCCTAAGATCAGGAATAAGACAAGGATGTCCACGCTCAGCACTTTTATTCAAGAGTACTGAAGTCCTAGCCACAGCAATGAGACAACACGAAAGAAATAAAAGGAATCTAAATTGGTAAGGAAGACGTGTAACTGTCACTGTTCGCAGAGGACATGATACGATCTAGAGTAAACCCTAAAGACTCTAGCAAAGAACTACCAAAACGGATAAATGAGTTAGGGTCACAGGATACAAAATTAACAATCAGAAATCCACTGCATTTCTATACACTAATAATGAAGTAGCAGAAAGAGAAATTAAGGAAAAAAAACTCCATTTACAATTGTACCAAAAAGAATATGTAGGAATAAACTTGAGCAAGGTGGTGCAAGACCTATACCCTGAAAGCTATAAAACACTGCTGAAAGAAACTGAAGACACAAACAAATGGAAAAACATTTCATGCTCATGGATTAGAAGAACAAAAATTGTTAAAATGGCCAGGCTACCCAAAGCAATCTACAGATTTAATGTAATCCCTACCAAAATACTAATAGCATTTTCCCCAGAACTTGAAGAAATAATCCTAAAATTTGTATGGAACTACAAAAGACCCTGAATAACCGAAGCAATCTTGAAACAGAACACAACTGGAGGTATCAAAATCCCAGATTTCAAGATATACTACAAAGCTGTAGAATCAAAACAGTATGGCACAGGCACAAAAAACAGACACATAGAACAATGGAACAGAAGACAGAGAGCCTAGAAATGAACCCACAATTATACGGTCAATTAATCTTCAACAAAGGATTGCAAGGCAAGAATATGCAATGGGACAATGACAGTCTCTTCAACAAAGATATTGCGAAACTGGACAGCTATATGCAAAAGAATGAAACTGGACCACTTTCTCATACCATACACAAAAATAAACTAAAAATAGATTAAGAACCTAAACTGGACACCTGAAACCATAAAAATCCTAGAAGAGAGCATAGGCAGTAGTTTCTCTGACATTGGCCATAGCAACATCTTTCTAGACATGTCTCTTGAGGCAAGGGAAATGCAAACAAAAATAAACTACCGGGGCTACATGAAAAGAAAAAGCTTCTGCACAGCAAAGGAAATAATCAACAAAACTAAAAGACAGTCTACGGAATGGGAGGAGTTATTTGCCAGTGACATATCTGATAAGGGGTTAGTATCCAAAACATATAAAGAACTTGCACAACTCAACACCAGAGAAACAAAGAATCAAATTAAAAAAGGTCTTCTTCCAAAGAAGACCTACAGAAAGACAACAGGCACATGAAATGATGCTCAACATCACTAACCATTAGGGAAATGCAAATCAAAACGATTAGATATCACCTCACACCTGTCAGAATGGCTAAAATTAGAAACACAAGAAACAATAAGTGCTGGTGAGGATGTCGAGAAAAAGGAATCCTGTTGGTGGGAATGCAAACTGGTGCAGCCACTGTGGAAAAGAGTACAGAGGTTCCTCAGAAAATTACAAACAGAATTACTGTATGATCCAGTGATTCCACTAATGGGTACATACCCAATGAGTACGAAAACACTAATTTGAAAAGATAAATACACCCCTATGTTTATTGCAGTGTTATTTAGAATAGCCAAACTATGGAAGCAGCTCAAGTATCCATCAATAGATGAATGGACAGGGGCGCCTGGGTGGCGCAGTCGGTTAAGCGTCCGACTTCAGCCAGGTCACGATCTCGCGGTCCGTGAGTTCGAGCCCCGCGTCGCGCTCTGGGCTGATGGCTCAGAGCCTGGAGCCTGTTTCTGATTCTGTGTCTCCCTCTCTCTCTGCCCCTCCCCCGTTCATGCTCTGTCTCTGTCTGTCCCAAAAATAAATAAACGTTGAAAAAAAAAATTAAAAAAAAAAAAAAAATAGATGAATGGACAAAGAAGATGTGGTGTATAGAGACAATGGAATATTGCCCAGCCATAAAAAGAATAAAATCTTGCCGTGTGCAACAACATGGATGGAGTCACAGAGTATAATGCTAAGTGAAATAAGTCTGAGAAAGACAAATAAAATATGATGTCACTCATATGCAGAATTTAAGAAATAAATCAAATCAACTAAGAAAAAAAAAGAGAGAGAGACAAACCAAAAAACAGACTCTCACCTACAGGGAACAAACTGATGGTTACCTACCCAGAGGGGAGGCGGGGATGGGAGTGGATGAAATAGGTGAAGAACACACTTACGATGATGAGCACTGAAGAATGTATAGAATTGCTGAATCACTATATTGTACCCCTGAAACTAAAATAACACTGTATGATAGCCATACCAGAGCTAAAAAAAAAAAAATAAGTAAAATTAAAAAAAAAAAAAAAAATCGCTCCAGTTTAAAACAAATAAATGCAGCAAAACCAAAACGGACCACACAATGAATGCCTACTCTGTGCCAGGCACTCAGAGGCATTCTTTTGGCACAATTCATTTATCTCCTTTTCTAGATAAAAACTTTAAAGAATCTGCCAAAATTACAGGCTTAAAAATGGGATTCACCTTCCAAGTTTTAGAGAAGCACAATAGAGGATATGCATGTGTGAGGAGATTTCTGGAAATGTAAGCTACTCAAAATAAGCAACCACACCAGAAAACAAAGGGCTCAAGCCACTGTACTATTCTTACCTGTGTGCGTTCCCATCTCCTCTCTGCAGAACCTCAATAATTTCCCGCACTGTGTGTGCAGGATCTCTGGGGCTCAGTAAATACAAGAGGACCTTCCTTCCATATTTGTCATTTATTATGTTAGGCAAGGAACTAATAATTTCCTGTGAAATCAAAGACACAAAAAATGAATCTAGGTGCTTAAAATAATGTGCACTTGAAATCCAAGAGGTACAGAAGGGTACATTCTCCACTATTTTTCCCAATGTACGTAAAAGAAAATGCAGAGCTAAGTTTGAAATCATGTCATTAAAGCACAAGGATTTACACTCAGAACACAGACTGGAGTCTGCACTGTGACTAGCATTACTGAACAAATCCATTTATATAAGTGACCGAGCTCAAGGACTTAAAAAAAATATTTAACGGAGTTCTCTTCATTCACCATGACCAATAGTTCTTAGGCCACTATTACTAGGGACACCGCTTGCTGGGGTCACTGAGCAGATACAGTCAATTTGCAGCTGCTTTAAATGCAGCATCAGCATCGATGAAGAACATTCTTATTAGAATTTCCCCACTGAGATGTATGTGAAGACAGATAAAGGAACTCTGTTAAATCGCACAAGTGAATAAAGGCTTTTAAAGTTAGCTGCTTATTCATGGCAAATGAAGGCTGTTTAAGGATTGCATTGAAAACAAAAATGGGCGGGGAAGGAAATAAATGCAGAAAGACTCCACAGAGCAGTTACAAATAATTACACTCTATGACATTTCCAATCAACTAACCAAGAACAATAATCTCCTTTTCTAGTTGTCTGAATTTAAGTAACAAAGGCAATGTCATCCCCACCCCAACTAAGCTCCTGTATAAATGCCCTGATGTTTTCAGACAGGAAAGTCACTGTGAAAAAACTCCTGTATTCTTAAGAGAGAATCTGCAACAGAAAAAAATCGTTCCCCCCCACCCCAACATTCCTATTTCTTGCAACAAGCCCTAATAGATATTCAAAGCCATACGTGTTTGAGCAGCAGGGATTTCTGCAGAAGTGGCTGGGGCCACAGAAAAAATTCAGTCCAACACTTGAGGTTTTCAGATGAGGAACCCATAAACGGGGCAGGTGACCGGCCCGAGGACAGTGGCAGGGCTCTGACTCCATGGAAAGGAATTCTCCGTGAGATAATATATACTTAGATGTTCTGATCTCTTAAGTAACGACTGATTACAGTGAGGTTAGTAATTTAACGCAAGGAACCGAGCCAAAGATGAAGTTGGTCATCGAGGAGATCACAACGCTACCAAATCTGTGACCCAGACATTGGCAATGCCAGCTCCAGATTCCACGCAAGAGCCATGGTTCTCTTTTTAAGATCCCAAGCTTCCCTCATTATCTGCGCAAAAGTGTATGGTGCTTCCTGTGATCATCAACAGAAGCTAACACTTGTTAAGAGCTTACCAGGAACCAGAGCCAGTGCTGTGAGCAGAACACCCTTCATCTTAAATACTCTTCACAGCACCTTGATAGAGGTACTAGGGCTCCTTCCATTTCACTAATAAGAAGCCCAAGGTTTACACGAGTGGAGTGACTTGCAGGAGAAGTATAAAGGTCACTCATCACCAGTTTGTTCTTTGTATTTGAGTATATTTCTGATGTTTATTTTGTGTTTTATAATGAGTAAGTCACAGGGCTGTAAAGTACAGCATAGGGTACAGAGTCAACAATATTGTCATGACCTTGTTGGGGACCAATGGGGACGCATCACCATGAGGAGCACTGAGGAATGTAAATAACTGTGGAATCATTATGCTATACACCTGAAACTAATATAATATTGTATGCCAACTTTACTTCAATAAAAAAAAAACTATGCAAAAACACAGGGAAAGGTTAAGATGGTAAGTTTGATATTATGTGTACTGTACTGCAATTAAATAGAAAAGAAAAAAAAAAA